ATAGTCAAAGAAAATTGGTACATTATATATGTATAAAAATTTTATTAAACTTAAAATTATATTTGTAATCAAAATATACCTGTATTCATATTTATCATCATTGTATTTCTCAGAATATTGAATTTGATCCACTGGCATTTTGCTTTAAAGTAACTAGACTAATAAAACTGAAAATAAAAAAAAAACAAAATGATTTATATAAGAAAACTAATACCACTTAATCATGTTGAAAATAGACTGCAAAGTAAGAAATCAATAATGATAAGTAATACATTAAAGAAAGAATAATAAATACCCTTGAAAACACAAGTAGTTTAATGATTTGTATATTTGCATATTATATGAAAACAAAATACATATTGTATGAGATATTTACTAATATAACTCTAGAGTGTTTACATATATATATGTATATATAATTGTATACGTTTAATATGTTTAATATAATTGTATACCTTTGTATATGTTTACATACATATATATATATATATATATGTATGTATATATATATATAATTGTATGAGAAGTTTTATTTAATATATTATTAGTGATATTATATTGATTCAACTAACCTAGAAACTTTTCTTGTAATAATGGTTAGTAAATTCCCAAGTTGTTCCAAACTTTCTCCCATACACTAGAAACTTCATAAAATTAAAAACTACTTTTACGACAATTAATTAATAAAAAAATTTAAGTTAAAATATAAAAAAAACTCGAATGTTGCGAGTTAGCAAGTGAATTATCCTATTCGAATATTGGGTTGTTATACGTCACATGTCAGGCGTGGTGTAATGGCTTCTGCCTACAGGACGCGGAAATACTTGTCGCGCGGCAAGAAGCGACGCGGCAACCAATAAACTTTCAATTCTCGTGGAAAAACGGCACGGTAATTGGCTACCGCGTCCTGTGAGCAAAAACCATTACATCTAGAGTGCGTTCCATTTAACAATTTCTATAAGTGGAATACACTCCTAGAGAAAGAGTTAAGAACTTTAGAAATTTTTTATCTGATATGGCAAACGTTACTACGTTCTATGGATAAAAGCCACTAGTCAACCGGCACATTTGACAGATCGTACGATGCATCCTCAACGAGCAAACATCGATGTTTTTCAAACACCGATGATTTTGTCCATCCCTAGTTTGTTTAGAGAATCTCGAAAATGTATTGGTAATTCTGTCTTCAAGCTGCCCCTATATTTGTCCATCTTTGCTACACGTTAATAGTGGTGTATTATTGTTATATTTGTATTGATAGTGTTGTAAAAGAATTAAAAGTTTTTTTTAACACTTTCGTTAAATCAAATTTAACGACGAGATGGGTGTACCGGCATTTTTTCGATGGTTAAGTCGAAAATATCCCTCCGTAATCGTCGAGTGCATTGAGCAGAAGGTATGTTAGGTTAATTTTTACATGTATCTTATATCAATGTATATTGTTAAATTATACCATGTATTTATTATGTTTTGTAAAACCGGGCCGTTCCGAGATGAAAAATGAATATAATATCGGATATTTGTAAATTAAGATTTATTTTTGTCATATGTATGTTGCGTAAACATAAACTTGTTTAAGAAACTCATGTAATGCAGCATTTTGGTACTTTATAGCCAGTGAACGCAGACGGGGTATGTATTCCTGTAAATTCTGCAGATCCAAACCCAAATGGAGTGGAATTTGATAATCTTTATCTTGACATGAATGGTATAATACATCCTTGTACACATCCAGAAGATAAGTGAGTATAACATCTTGCAAAGAATGATTTGTAAGATATTTAACTCCTTTTAATGTAATTCTCTATATTAATTTGATTATTTTCTTTCTAACATAGGCCAGCACCTAAAGATGAGGATGAAATGATGGAAGCTATTTTTGAATGCATTGACAGATTATTTCGCATTGTTAGACCAAGGAAATTGCTTTACATGGCGATCGATGGAGTTGTAAGTGTTATTATGTGTAAAGAATATTTATAATTAAAAAAAACTAGACAAGATAACTGATGTAACTGCAACGTGTAATGGTTTATTATAAAGGCACCCAGAGCTAAGATGAATCAACAACGATCTCGACGATTTAGAGCATCAAAAGAAACAACTGAGAAAATTGACGAAATACAAAGAATACGTACTGAACTGTCTCTGAAAGGTGCATCTTTGCCTCCTGAAAAGCCAAAGGAAGCGCATTTCGATAGTAACTGTATTACACCGGTATGTAGTAACAATAAATTATACATAGTATATATAGTAATAATATATGTAGTAACAATAAATTATACAGTCAAATATCTACCTATATATAATATCTATAGATATACATTTTCTATATCTATAGGTAAACATTTCATTTTCATAACAATAATTTATTTGAGAGTGAGTTTTAAAGTTGTATATTATTTGTACAAACATGCCGTTTAAAATTTCGCGTTTCAGGGCACACCGTTTATGTCAAGATTATCGGCATGCTTACATTATTACATTCATGAACGTTTGAACAGTGACCCAGGTTGGAGGAATATCAAAGTAATATTAAGCGACGCCAATGTACCTGGTGAAGGAGAACATAAGATAATGGATTTCATACGGCGACAAAGATGTACGTTTCTCTCTATCCTTTACAATACTATCTTGAATATGCAGATTATAGTAGTATATTGTAAATATTATATCTTTCGTATTTATATTTTACAGCACAACCCGATCATGATCCTAATACGCAGCATGTCCTATGCGGAGCGGACGCAGATTTGATTATGTTGGGCCTTGCCACTCACGAACCTAACTTTACTATCATTCGCGAAGAATTCAAGCCGAATAAACCGAAACCGTGCGATATATGTGGCCAGTTGGGGCATGAAATGCGTGACTGTGTCGGCGCGGAACCGAATCAAAAAGAAGAGGAAAACGCATATGGGTCCGAGTGCCAGTTCATATTTGTGCGTTTAAACGTTCTCCGGGAATATTTAGAAAGAGAGTTGTCTATGCCGAATCTACCGTTCAAATATGACTTTGAACGAGCTGTCGATGACTGGGTGTTTATGTGTTTCTTCGTAGGAAACGATTTTCTACCTCATCTGCCTTCTTTAGAGATCAGAGAAGGTGCGATCGACAGACTCGTTACTCTATATAAGAAAGCAGTATATAAAACAGGGGTACGTATTATTTTTTAGAAAACCAGTTAACATGGAAAGACAACGGGATATAATCTCGAATTGTTTACAGGGCTTTCTGACAGATAGCGGAGATGTTAACTTAGATCGTGTGCAATTGATAATGTCAGATCTTGGTGATGTTGAAGATGAGATATTTAAGAAGAGGCAAGAGAATGAACTGGCTTTCAAGCAACGTGAGAAGGACAAGAAGAGGAGAAACGAAATTATCAGTAATTTCAAACCAAAATGGATTCCTGCAGGACAATTTGCGCCTAATGTAAGATTTTATTGTTGCCGTGCTATAAAGAATTATTATTGCTTCTATAATCAGTTTAATGTATAATTATATATCTATCGCAAACATACGCCCAGTGGAAATTTTATCACATAAAACATATTAAATACCGTACAAATTTTTGCAGCCCCTTGGACAAGCAGTGAAACCTATAGAAAATGCACGTTATGAAGCTTATCAAATGCGTGTACAAGGTAGAAACTATAATGCAAATATCGCCGAAAATAAAAATGCTAGTCATGCCCTAGAAAGCATGTTACGGCCTGAGGTAACTTAGATTCTCTCTATGTGATATTATGTTGCACGGATTTTCTTTTATCATGTTCTACAAAAAAAAATATTAATCGAGCGGTTTATAATATTGGATGTACCAATATCGGTCACGACTGGTTTTTATCATCTTCTGAAATATTTCTAATAAAAATAATATAGTAATAATATAGTAATAAATTCCACAATCAAATTCACAAATAATATAGTAATAATATAGTAATAAATTTCACGAAGTATAATATCATTCCTAAATCTTTGTGTTTATTATTATTCATTAATCATGGAAAATATTATCACGCAAATGTTTTTCTGTAACTATCGCGAAATATACTATGTATAATATTAAAAATTAATTTCTTGTTACACAGAACACTGGTAACAGTGGAAGAAAACGTAAAATTGAGGACGTTGAGTCAGATGATGAACAGGTGCATGACGAAGTGCGTCTTTGGGAGGATGGTTTCAAAGATCGATACTATGAATCGAAATTTGGCGTATCTCCTGATAATCTCGCTTTCAGGTAACAGTAGACATGAATTATTCTATATTATTTACATACAAATCTTATTGATCACTTACTTATTCACATTGTCTCAAACATGATAATTTTATGGTGTTGCAATGAAAATAACAAAAAAATTATTTCGGAAGATTAAATTAATCCCTCTATATATATAAATATTTATTATATTCGTTTGCTTGCAGAAATAACGTTGCTTTACAATACGTGCGGGGTTTATGCTGGGTTCTACGATATTATTATCAAGGTTGCGCGTCGTGGAGATGGTATTTTCCGTATCATTACGCGCCATTTGCAAGTGATTTTATCAATATCGGCGGTCTTTCTACGGAATTTGAAAAGGGCACTATACCGGTAAATACAAGGAATCTTGTAAAACATATTAAGCGGATGCTGCAGTGACGACCGAACTTTGACGAGAAAGCGTTTTCATCTAAGCAAAACTAAAAATGTCAGTAAATTATTGACATTTTAAATGTGATATGGGAGCAAACATATTGGTAAATGTGTGTATTTTGTGTAAAAAAGTTCTAAATCTTATAAAGCCATTTCGGAGAATGATAGGACCTGTAATGTCAGTGAATCACCGATCACTCCAGCATCTCCTCAAATGTATTGACTTGTAATTAGCTTTGTATAGATATGCATTTACACCATGACTTAATTATATCACTTTGCAGTTTCGCCCATTAGAACAATTGATGGGTGTCTTTCCTGCTGCTAGCAGTAAACATGTGCCTGCGCCATGGGCGAATTTAATGAGTGATCCAGTATGTATATACTCTTATGAACTAAATGTTTAAAATATTAAGAAAGTTATATTAAAACAAATGACAAAAAAGTAAGAGAAGCTTATACTTTTATTTCTTAATCTTGTGTAGATGAGAGTTAATTGAAATTTTCTCTATTTAAACGTGTCATTTTACCATTTATTCACAGAGATCTCCGATTATTGACTTCTACCCAGAAGATTTTAAAATTGATTTGAACGGAAAGAAATTTGCATGGCAAGGCGTGGCTTTGCTTCCGTTTGTGGACGAGCAAAGATTATTCAAGGCTCTGGCGCCGTACTACGATAGTCTAACCGAAGCAGAAAGTAAATGATACAAACATTTCTAGAATTGACATAGCATGTGGCGTAACTATCAAATCTTTCATTCTTTGGAAAAGTTAGAGTGAGCCCTTCTTTAGCCGGTAATTGGCCGGCTGGAGACTTTGCATGGGAACTGATAAAAGCATTGTAGATACTTCCGGGGATACAGTATTGTCAAAATCAATCGTTTGGTAACATACTGGAACGAAAGAAGATGTCACGCCGTTGTTTGCTTTATGAACACTGCTCAGGACACGTATATGTCTGTAAGAAAAGAAAGAAAGGACCTCTTAACTTGAGCATAATGTTTATAGTTCAAAGACTCACGGATAACTTCAGAGTTTGATGCATCGTGTGCTTTTTTTTTTAAATAGTATATAAATAATTTCAAACCGTATCACTAGCATAAGACACTTGAGCGAATGCAAAGAGACATCGACAAGCGAATTTCCCATCAAAGGTGTCGGTTTTCATCTAACAATAGAATCTGTGGCGAGAAGAAAAATTACACTAATGATCTTCAAGCATTGCACGCACATTCAAGAATTGACGCCAGTATACTTGTATTAATGTCGCGTTTCTGTTTTTCAGAGAAGAGAAACATTCGTGGTGATGACAGGCTGTATGTTGGCATGGGAAATAATGGTTATTCTTACGTAAGAGGCATATATGCTAATCGTGTCGGATTTGACAAGGAGCTGGAGATAAGTATAGAGGGTATGCGAGGTACGGTGCTCTTATCGGAGGATTGCGTGATTGAAGGAGGCACGTTACCTTCGCCTGTAAGAGGTTTACCAGTCAGGAGCAACAAGATATATTGGTAAGCATGCCAGGATCTTGTCTCACTAAAATGATGTATATGTACATAAAAGGGTGTCAAACTGATGAGGGCGAAAAACTTACCTCCCGATCTACAGCGTCAAATTCAGGGATCCAACATACGGCAGCAGCCATATCTTTCCTGCTTGCAAGCTGAAAGGAGCTAAAGAACCGCCGCGCGTCCTGAAACCGCAAGACTTCGATGCTATGAATCGTGACAATAGGAACCAGTGGAAGCCACAAATCGGCTTCACTCGATCCACACAATCCGTTTCGTTAGGACAAGCGGGACACAGGATGCTCGAGTAAGCATCACTATCCGTCAGTGCAACTGTTCGATAACTTTCTTTCACATTTTGACGAACAGTTGGAAGTACAAAATACATGAAACATTTATATTAAGGAAAAGGAAATAATTTTCATCGCAAAAGCAAACGAAAGCTTGTAGTTATCAGATTAGACAATGTGTCGTATAAAATATTGTTTTAATTATATTTCCGAATGTACTGTTATGCTATTGTACCGAAGCAAATGTTTAAACAAGCCAAGCGTTTTATTGGACGATATTTCTATTTGCAGGCGACATACGAACCACAATCGACCACCGACATATGCGAACATTCCTCCACCAGCCAATTTGTATCAGCCGCAGTTTCATCACGGTAAGTCATTCTATGTTTGTATACACGCAACACGCATTAAGAGTCAGTGTGATGCCAAACATTTCAAATTACGAAATATGGAAAAACACTGAATAAACGAAGACGAAACGAGTGTTAGAGCTGCTTCGTTAATATACAATAAATAAGACTCCCATTATCTGTATTAATAGGGAGACATGAATGTTCCGATAGACAGGGTGTTTTCGATAACGAAGCGCTCGCTTTCCTATCATAGAACTTATCTTTTTTTAGGAGAAGAGTAATAAAAATTTATAAAATTGATAATTTGCCTATATAATTGTATGTATCTTGTATCTGGTAAATCACGCAGATTTATTTCGCATTCGAAGAGGGATTTTGGATTATTTTTACTTCATTTATTTCTACTTCGCGTCCGGAGATGGAGACAGTTGTCGCAAAATTGCGAAGAATCGTCGCGATTATATACTCCTTTTACGTGAAAATTTCTCCATATGACGTTCGACTCGTTATATCATTTGACGAATTCAGTGATTTCGAGGATGAGATCGGGGTTGACGTATCGATCAACAACGAAATCGCTGGGACCTTCGGCGGCGCATAGGTAGTGGACGGACGTGTTTACGCTGACGGGGAACAGGGCACGAGGGTGGAGGGGATTGAATTGGAGGGTCGGAGAGGGCTCGCGCGGCGACCCTAACGGAATAGCGTTTCGCAATCAGTCAGTCAGTCAGTCAATTGTTTTCTAACTGGGACCGGTTCCTCCCGTTATTTATTTCATCTCCCCTTCCTACTAACCCTCCCACTCCCCTTGTTCTTTCGACAATGCTGGGATTAGGAGAGCCGAGTTAAAGTCAGCGAGCAAGCACACGCGACCTTACCTCGATTAACGTCGTCGAGCGAAATCGAGCGGAGGTGCTCGATTTTTTTTTTATCGCTTAGGCTGCGTTCGGAAATACCATTCTGAGGATAGAGCAAGATAAAGCAGAATAAATGGTAGAGTATACAAATATAATGTTAAATTAACACATTCACTTTATATTGGCAACATACTGTGCGCTTTTCACTACTGACATGAACTTTATTTAAAAAATCTGGAATTTTGCCGATCTTAGAACCTTCGAATATTTCCGAACGGCGCGAGTTTCAATGGGTGCACCTACAGATGAAGTTTCCGAACATAGCTTCACTCGCGTTTAAAGGACATTTTTGTCCTCCCCCATGACGCCACTGCGACGCGGATTTTCAACCGATAGCTCGAAAGAAGAAATGGACTTTTGGAGAATACGTCAAGTATTAGTCACGTCTCTTCGTGTTCCTCTTTCTCTCTCTCTCTCTCTCTCTCGCGCGCATTTTTTTCTTTCTTTCGTTCTCGCGGAAGCACAGGGATGTCGCGACTCGTCGCTGCGCTTCACCTCGCGTCACGAAGGTGAGGGTGGTGAGGTGTCCGTGGGTTGGTGGACACAAGCGGTGGTGAATCGACTTGTCGGCGGGGGCGGTGCTGGGCGAGCGGGGAGGAAACTTTGTCGAGAGCTGGCGACGGGGCGGGAGGGGGAGACCGCGAAGCCGAGGGGGCTCTCGTCCGGGATTAGCTTCGGGGGTAGTTCGTCACGTAGAGCGTGACTCCGGCCGTTTTGTTGTTTGGCACGTCGAGGCGGTGGTGGACGGTTCCCCGGTTTCGCCCAATTATAAAACAAACGCGGCGCACTCCGTAATTATCCAATTAGCAGACGTACGGCCTGCCCTCCTCCTGCACGCCGTGGCATCTCGTACATCACGTTTCTCTCGGCCCCTCGTCTCATTCGTCTCCTTTCGCTCTCTTGCCTTCGTTACGTTCCTCATATACGTTCGCTCGTGGCGCACAAAGACGAACACGACCATCGCGTACCGATGACTTTGTCGCTCGTCTCGTGACTCGATTGTCGTCAATCCACCCAGTCGTTTCTTTGCACTTACGTTGTCGAGCGAGCGAGCGGAGAACCCGGTGATCTTCGCGCTGCGACATGGGCTGTCGTCTCTCATCTCTTGGTCAATACGAGGACGAATCGGGATCGCGCGTTCAATCGGCTGCGCGAAGAGATAGATTATAATAGACTTCCTTTATGACTTATCTGGTCATTGGAGGAGTTGACATTCATCGGCGGTTTTTCTCTGTTCTCTTCGTAGTCCGTTCGCGCATTCAACGTTGCGTAAGCGAGCCTTTTTCAATCTGCTTTTTTTGCAGTTGAACTTCTTCCTGAGAATTCACTTTTGAAATAATGAAGCCCGTTCATTTGTCATTCAGTCCACTGACTTTGACTATGCCGGTTTGCTCTTTAACTCATTATACGTGTTATATTTTATTCCTGTGTTTCATTGTATATCTTGACCCCACCGGTCGGCCACGTCTTTATGCCCGGACATAAAAACAAAACGTTATATGGAATACGGCGCAGTCTCGTGTGTGATTGATTTACCGAGGGGAGTAAATGCCACGCGCAGACAAAAGCGAACCCTCGTCGTGAGAGCAAGTGTCGAGGATACGAAATGATCCCGTGAAGAACGCGAGAAGCTCGCGTTTTCTTCCAGCGGGCACTCTCTCGTTGTTCTTGCATTTTATTTATTAGCCGGGACTCAAAAAAAGAGTTTCCGTGGAACCGACGGTCCTCAGCCAATTACACCGAGCCGAATTTTATCTGAACTGTAAGGATGTCATCTGGCTTGGGCGATCAATTATAATTTTTTTCTTATACGCAATATATAAAACATAGCATGAGATATGCAGTGTAACATCATATTTTCTGTAGTTTTAAAATTTCGGAGAAAAATGATTTTTCCCCCAATTTCCGCGGATTCTTTCGATTTCTTACCTTCTTTACCGAAAAAAAGTAGCAGATTTTAACCTAACGCACGTGAATCTTTCTAAACAAATTTTTGTACTCTTCAGCAGAAACCGAAGAAATTCGCGGAAAAATGGAGAAAAAACGATTCATTTCCCGAAACTTTAAAACTGTCTAATATATCGATAACTAAGAATTGATATCTCGTATCCGCAAGGATGGCCATTTTAGCAAAGTCAGAATTTTGTCTCTTTCGACCCGTGCCTGAGAAGAGAATGATTTTCCAGCAGACTCGAGAAAGGCAAAAACATCTTGTATCTTCGAGGCGTTCAGAACAAAGTAAATTTTCAAAACGGTCCTTCGTCTCTCCCGAAAACTTGCGATCTCGCATGTATAAGGTATCACTCGTTATCCATCGATATACAATTTCACGATGCGACTAATTACGCATTACGCACGTAAATTAACGAGACGCGTCGGTGACTGACGCACCGGCATTCAGCGTATCAAAGGTCCCTCCGGCGAAATAAGAATTATTCTCACTCGTTCGTAGATAGGTTTCTTACGCCGACAGCGCTACAGGTGTAAGCGCGCTTACGTTTTGCATTATTAACCCGGTATGCGCAACCGGCGATGCTGCACGAGGCAGCGGGGCGAGGTGTGGCGAGACGAGGCGAAGCGTGGTGAGGGCGAGCGCGAGTAAACAAGTAAACGGTATTTCCGCCAGGAGGGATGAAGCTCGGCCGAGAGGGAGGAGGTTACACTTTGTTCGTTCGTCCATCTCCGCGTCCAGATGACAGGTGCAGGGACCCCTCGTTAGACAAATTAAGCAACCTTTCTGGCCTCGGTGCTGTCGGTGGTATATCTTCGTCTACTTTCATCTCCGTCCACCCGTCTCTCTTTCTCTCTCTAACTCTCGCTCGCTCGTTCTCCCTCTTTCCTTCCACACGCGCGCACACGCGTTCGTGTTCGTCCGGGACAGGTTTCGAGTGGACTGCAAACACTCGTATAGCAGCGGCAGCAGCGGTGGCAGCAGAGGCAGCAGAAGCTCGAATTGCGCGGAAACCATGCACGAGCCTTACTACGATCCGCAGTTATCGCGAAGAGAGAAAACGCGGCGCGGTGATACGCTTCCTTCAGAATCGTCTTCTCGAAATTATCCCTCGGCCTTTTTTCGAGACACGTTCTTTTCTTCTTCTCCTTGCGTAACGCAAAGTTCGTTCTTGCCAGAGATCTCCCGCTGCCGCCGGTGAAATGTTTCGAAATTAATACCCGCGTTTCACGAGCGCTCGAAGAGTGAGGGAAAGGAAAATAGAGAGAGAGAGAGAGACAGAGAGACAGGCAGAGAGAGCAAACGAGGAATAAATTACGACGCTATTCGGTGTAAACTTAGCGGAAAATGGATATATGTATAAACACGCCGGGCATACGCGCGCTGAAGAACTCGTGAAAATAAAACGCGGAGCGAAAGAAGATAGGAGGAAGAAAGGTGCGCGCGTCTCTTCTCCTCTCCTCTCTTTCCACCTCTGCCGTTTCTTCTCCCGACCATTCATTCACCGCGGCCTATTCACGGTACGTTTATCTACCTGCCCATCATGGGATCCCCATTAAAGACGGGTTCCATTCACCTACGCGCGCAATGACGAACTTATCCCTCGGATCTTGGCAGGCAGTCAATGTCTACGGTTCCCTTTTGATCCTCGCTTCGAGCGATGAGAGGAACATTTGATAATCCTTGACGCCGCGACAGGCAGAAATTGAATCGCCATTGACTCGGTTTTTCGGGGAGGAGTTACGTTTTGCCGGAGTAATATCGCCTCGCGAGTAACTAATGACGTAATGTGCGCGCGAGTTCACCCTGGCGCGGGTGAAACCGACGTCGAGCGGAATTCGCACCGGTCCCGTCATTATTAACGTCGCCTCGCTCCGACTTCGCGTATCTTTCCGCGAACTTTATCGCAAAAACGAATATGTATACATAGAAAAACCTCGAAATCGGGTAAAAGGACGAAATTTCCTCGCAGAAACTGTAATCGAACCAAATAGAGTAAAAAGTCGAGTCGAATCGACAATCGTAGGAATTCAAATTACGAAAAGATTCAGTCGATGATAATATATTACACCGAAAAAAAAAAAATTGAAACATAATTGTAGATGTGATATGGATCTTCAACTAACGCGAAAGGTAAGTCTTTTTTTAAA